AAACTAGCACCGAAAAAGTAGCGACGACGGCAAGCACACCGAAAAAGGCAGAAAAGAAGGCAAGGTAATGAAATGAAAGTGAGCGGCGACTTTGGCGGCGGCGGCAGGTAATGGCTTCGGAGTTCGTTCAGCGTGTCGGTTGGCAATGAAAAAAGACGACCAAGCAGCAGAAACAACAGCAACAGCAGCAGTCCTTTCCTACGCTTGACTGGCCACCACAACCATACGGCACATTCTCACCAGGTATTGCTGATACTGCTGCACTTTCATTCAAACGTACCACCACCACCACAAACAAGCAAACAACTGCTGAAGGGAAACTTTTGCTGAGGTGGTGATGATCGTGGTGGTGGTTGTTGACGAAGAGGATGCTCAAGTTGGATAATCAAGCCTTAGCATCAGCATCAGCATCTCTCCCACAACTGGAGAAAAGCAGCAGCAGCAGCCGAATCAGCAAATCTCGTTTTCAGCAGCGGCCAAAAACGGCACACATTTTTGCCCACTACTGCGATATCAGTCAGCAGAGTGATGTCTTCTGAATCTGCGCCTTGTGACCTGTACATCTCGCACAGAACAGTCTCACACACTCAGGCACAAACACAGTCAGACACAGTCAGAAACAGTCAGAGTCTAATCCTCCGCAGCTCCGCAGTGTGCAAACTCGTTCCAAACACACTGCTTGGCCTCTATTTTTCTCAGCCACCACACAGACACTCTCATTCACATTTGCAGGCTTGCCCAACACAGATTAGAAAAACAGACAGAGAGGCGGACAAAAAGAGAAAAGAGTTCGTTACAACATCAAGTGTTTATTACGTATTTATACGTCGAGACTTACAGTCAGGCTAGCCGCTCCACTTGTTGTTCTTCGAGTTGGCCTTCGATGTGCCTGTTGTTGATGCAGTTCCTGCACTACCGCCACCTCCGCTGATGGGTATCTCCGGTGTGGAGTTGAATCGTCGCAGCGTGGACTGTATGGCGGCCAGCTGTTCACTTCGGGAGCTGGTGGTGGTGGTGATGGAGTTCTGCTCACTGAACTGCTCATCATCATCATCATCATCATCACCCACTTCATCACCACCACCTTTCTTCAGTGCCGATCGACGGCCATCGAGCGTTTCAGAGGCCATGTCACCCTCGGTGTCATCCTCCTCCAGACCGCTCTCTTCGCTTTCCTCTTCTTCTTCGTTGTCAGAGTCTTCAGCTTCCTCTTCTTCAGTGTCAGAATCTTCATCATCCTCTTCCTCTTCTTCAGCTGACTCGACGTCACTGACGTCGCCTTCCACCTCATTCAAAATCGCCCGATTCAGTGAGCGAAAGTGAAAGAACTCATTGAACAGTTTGAGGTCGTCCAGCGGACTGAAGCCTCGACTGACCGCTTTGTAGACATCAGTCAGACTGTTGAAGGCGCGGATGGTGTAGCGCAGCTCGGAGAGAATCAGTTTCAGGAGGACTTTCTGTTAAAATAGTAAAAATTTAAAAAAGCTAAAATTTATTAAAAAGATCGGGGACTTACTCGCAGCACCAGATTTCGTCGCAGTTCATATCGTTGAGCCATCTGCTGCAATGCCCGCTCCTCCTTGCTCGGCTTTTCCACCCGTTCGACACTTTGACTGCGCCGAGTGCTGGAACTTCGAGAGGCGGTGCTCGATGCCCCAGCAGCAGCAGTGGACCACCTAGAACGACTTCCATCACTTCCTTTACCGTCAAAGACCTTGTTTGTGGTGGATCGAATCTCATCCTAAAGGGGATTTTTATGATGAAAAGTTGAAGTTTTGTACAGGCCATAGAGCTTACCCGTTGTTTATGCAGCGAAGTGCCAAACGCCGACAGCGCCGGCAGCAGCTTGTCCTCAAAGTACAGCACCTCAGAGTCGCGGTGATCTTGAATGGAGCGCATTGATCTGGCCATCTCGGCGGTGGTTTTCTTCAGACTAGAGTTCAAAAGTTTTTAAAATTAGCAAAAATCACAAAACAAAAAATTGTGCATTTTTTACCTCGGATTGAGCACCTCACCGACGGAGATGGCATTCAGCGCCTCGGCGACCATGTCGCCCGAGTCTCGCAGCTTGGCGCTACGACGGGCGTAGCCAGAGAGCGACTGCAGCAGCTCGGCCAGCTGCTTCTCGAAGGCATCGCCTCGAGCCGTCAGGTAGCGGAACTTGGATTTGCTTTGAGCACCACATCAAAAATTAATTGATTGATCTCAGGGAAAACACAAAACTTACCGACTAATGTTTTGATGATCAAAAGTGTTGGCTGCTGCTGATGCTGCTGCGGCTGTGGCGGCAGCATTTT